TAAGAAAAAAGGGGAAATTTAAAAAAATTAATTCGGGGAAAAGACACCCCAAAGTTTTAAAAAAAAAAAATTTTTTTTCCCACTGAAATTTTTAATTTTTTAAATACCACAAACTGCCCACTTTCCCTTTTATTAAAAGACTGGTGATAAATTGATAGGAGGGGGAGGAGGGGATTTTTGGAAGTTGTTTAATTTTTAAAAGGGGGAACCCCCTTCCATTAGGACTTGGGGTTTAACCAAGCCCTTTTTCCGGGGTTTTACTTTCCCTTTTCTTTTAATGCCATTTAGGACCAGTTTTAGAGCCCAACTAAACCTTTTGTCGCAAAAACTTATTTGCCCCTTTTACGGGCCCTGTCCCTTCCCTTTCCCCTTTATGATTTTTTCTAAAGGGGTTTCAAAAAATAGTCATTGAAAATAGTCACCAGAAACGGTTCCCAATAGCTGTGTGGGGGTTTGATTTTTTCCCCAAAAAAGGTTTGCCCCTTCAAGCCACTTTTTTGAAAAAACCATTTCCTTAATCTTTAAGTGGGCCCAACTTAAATTTTTCTCTATCCCCCCCCTTTCCAAAGCTTTTTCCTCGGGTCTGGCCCTTGCTTTTTGAAGATGATTTTGAGCTCATCATGGTTTTTTTTTCATTGTCCCCCTCCCCACCCCCCTCCAAAATCCCCCACAAACCCTTTCCAACCCCAAGGGAATTTCCCCCAAGGGCCAAAATTTGATTCCAAAAACGGGGCATAGGTTTTCCCAGGGTTAGCCTAAACCCTTAAAAATCCCTTTTGTTCCCACTTTCCCGGGGCCCACAGTTTTTTCCCAAGCAGATTTCAAGGTCCTCTTAGTCACTCCCCCCCCAACCTTATTTTTAATGTTTTCAAAATTTGAGGATTTTTAAAGTGTTTCTCTTCCCAAAAACTCTCTTAGAGTAAAATCGATTTCTGGGGCCCCCGCTACAAAAAAACTTTTTGAAACAGCTTTTTTTGTAGGTTTTTTGAAGTTTGAAATGACCTGCTGGTCCAGGGGTCTGCGGGAGGGGGGTGGTATTGGAGGAAAAAACTTGCCTTAATAAAGCTAAAGCCCCCCAAGTTCTCTCCCAAAGTCTAAAGGGGATGCCAAAGGACTTTGTCAATACCAGGGGGGAAACCTTAAAGTCCAATACATTTTCCAGGGGGAAATTTTTTTTCCAAAAGGGGGGGGGAAAAAATGCATGGTGAAACCCAGTCATAGAAAAGGTCTCTAGTGCCCCAATCCCCTTACTTTTCCCCTCCACATAAACACATAAATTGCCTTAAAGGACATTGTTTCTCCTGCACTCTGGAGTTTCCCGAGTGATACACCAATAAAGGCTTCACTTTGCAATCACCACAGCATTAGTACACATCCCAAAAAGGGAACCTGTTTTCATAGGTTTTGTCCCGGGAGTGCCTTTTCTTTTCCCGGGGTAAATGCAGGTCCTGTTTTGGCCCTTTTTTTCCAAAAAGGCCTGGTTCGTGCAATTTTAAAAAATTTTTTTTTCAGTTTCAATTTTTCACTGTCTAGTAAACTTTGAATTCCTTCACATAATTTTTTAGCCACTTTTTTTGGGTTTTGAACTGGGCGCCCCCATGCCTATCACACTATGTATGCCACTACAATTTTTTAAATCTCTCAACCCAACCCCTTTTCTGGGCCCTTTAAAATTTACCCCACATCCTAGTTGCGGCATTTTTTTAAGTAAATCCTCATGCAAACTTCCTAGCCTTTTTACATATGATCGCTTTGAGAGATGCTATCTCCTGCTATCTGTTTTTTCTTTTTTCCACACCAATAAAAAGTCCCCTCAACAATTCGAGTACTACAGTGGACCCTTTGACCAAAGATGGCATCGCTAACGTTAAAACCCCTTTTACGGGGCGGGGCCGTATATATACGTCTTGCGAAGGTACCGGGGTTTTACGATATATATCAAATTTTTAGCGGCTTTTCCCAAAACAAACCCGGGAAAACGGTTGGCCCCCCCCCTTTTGAAGGGAAAGGGTCTGGTGGTCCCAGTGTTTCACCAATAAAAAAAATCCTGGAGACGCATTTCATAATGAGGAAAAAAAAAAACTCCGACCGTTTTTTTTTTTAATTAAAATGCCGACTTTATGGTCTATTTTTGTATAGTATTTATGGTTGTATTCTCGTTTTCTTGGTCTCATTTGATAGAATGGAAAGCATATTATAGAAATAGAGGTGATTTTGATTGATTTTACTATAAAAAGGACCTAGAAATGGAGCTCGAAGTAGGGGAAATGTTTGATTTTTGCCAATGTTCAAAAGTAAACAAATGATGCCATTGTCCAATAAATGTCCAACTAGCCATTCTAATATGCAGTCATGAATGGGTTGATGTTATTTATACAATTATTGCAGTATTGCAGTAGTCTGCATAATAGTAAGTCTTCTATTTTTTGTTTGAATAAAAATTCAAAATAGAAAGCAAGAGTAATATCAGAGGGGCCTGGAGACATGACTGATGAGCAAAGAAAATGTAATTTTAGAGCCAGGAATGTCTGCATTGTTCATTCTGAACCTTTTTTGAAATTGTCATATTTTTTAGTTTTCGTGAAATTGGCCAAATTGCAAATTTCTGACCACACTATTAGGTAGTTGAAATCGGTAAATGGGCAGTTTCTTGTACTCAATCGATAGAAAAAATGGAGTTCTAAAGAAATAGCTATGAGTTTGGGCGACTGGAACAATGGAATTAGCCGAAAATAGGGCTCAAAGTGGGCGAAATCGCCGATTTGTAAACAGCGCTGAGGTCGCTAACTTCGCGAGAGCATAATTCCGTCAGTTTTCCATCGAATTTAGTTTTTTTGGTGTCATTACAATCGGGAAAAGATTCTCTATCATTTCATAAGAAAAAACAATTTTTTTTTTTTAAATTTTGCGACACCAGGAGACACCTCAAGATTGGGGGTTGCAACAGTCAAAGGGTTAAATCCGACTAGCGATACATTTTAATGCAAAAAATTTGCCTGGACTAGCACTAAAAAACTCGACCAACATGATTCGTTCCGTTCGAGACACGTCCACTTTTTACCTGAGGGCGCCACTTGTCCTGTGGGTGCCAGTGTTTACAAGCCAGCCAGCCACCGCGGTCCCATCCAAACATACAATCGGAACATTTCATATTATAACAGCGTTATAGTGATTGCACCTGCAAAATAAGTCACTATGGGCCCCGAGAAAGCTTCTGGTGCCAACCCTACAGCAAAAAGGGTGAGAATTACCATGGATATGAAGAAAGAGATTAAGGAAATGTGTGCAACCCTCACACAGCTATTGCAAGCCGTGCTGGTGACTATTGCAATGACAATGTTGTGAACCACTTTAGACAAATCATAAAGGAACGGGAGGTACAGGCCTCTATGGACAGATATGTTGTGCAACAGAGGTCCAGTGACTCTCAAGCTGGTCCTAGTGGCATTAAAAGAAGAAGGGAAGTAACCCCGGAAAAGGACTTGACACTTCAAGTCCTAATGGTAGGGGATTCCCCTTCTAAACACTACACCATCCACACACTCCCCTCCTCCCATCCCATCAATCATCACCAGATCTTCAATAAAGGTAAGTGTCATGTAATTGTACATGTCTTCTTCAGTTTGTGTGTATTAAAATTAATATTTCATGTGGTAAAAATTTTTTTTTTTTCAATACTTTGGGGTGTCTTGCACGTATTAATTTGATTTCCATTATTTCTTATGGGGAAAATTAACTCGACTAACGATAATTTTGACTAACGATGAGCTCTCAGGAACGGATTAATATCGTTGGTCGAGGGTCCACTGTACTTGCGATCTCTTATTCGAAAACAAAGTTGCACCTCTTGCAAGAACAGCTTCCTTGATTGTCGTTTTCTTGGCCACAATAGTAGCGATGGTTGATTGGGGTTTGGTATACAACCTGGCCAGCTCCAAGACACGCACTCCACTTTCGTACCTAGCAATTATCTCTTTCTTCATATCCATAGTAATTCTCACCCTTTTTCCTGCAGGGTTGGCACTAGAAGCTTTCTTGGGGCCCATGGTGACTTATTTTGCAGGTACAATCACTAAAAACGCTGTGATAATATGAAATGTTCCGATTGTATGCTTGGATGCGACCACACTGGCTGGCTTGTAAACACTGGCACCTACAGGACAACTGAGGCGCGCTCAGGCCACTCGTGGACGCGTCTCGAACGAATCGCGTAGGGTGAGTTTTTTAGCATTAGCTGAGGCAAAATTTTTGCGTTAAAATGTATCGTTAGCTGGACTTAACGTTAGGTGATGCCATCGTTAGCTGAGGGTCCACTGTACCCATAATTTCTGACGTAACTCTAACTCTCCTCGATTTTGAAGCCATTGATTATGTGCTCATGCACTCTCCCATGCCCACACTCGTGGAACTTCGTCTTCATAATTAAAAATTTTCCTACAGATGATGAGCCACAAAAAGAAATTAGATTGACCCAAAAACCATTTATTGCTTTGATGGATGGTATGATTGTTGCTGTGGAGGGTATGTTATTAGAGTGACTGCTACTGAAGGATTGAAGACAAGTATCGAAACCATAATATCACTTGTTTTCTTTGAATCAAAGTGAAAGCAACACTTGCTGAAATTGCTCTGAAAACTTTTCTTCCATTTCCCTTGACATACCTCTGTGAAGCTACTCTCTCATCTCTTCATGTCATTAAGACTAAGTGCAGAAAGAATGTGGATATTCGGTCTCCATTGTGTGCCACTGTCCTTAACCAAGTCATCACTTGATGAGCTGATAAACAAAAAGCAGGCTCACTTTTTGCATTAGGTGTTTTAACATGCCTGTTGTATAAATTTAAGAATCTTTTTCAGTACTTTTAATATTTTTAATAAAAACTTTAAATTTTTCCGTTTTCCAAGTTGGCAACCCTACACTGGTCCCTGGCACAATTGAAAATAAATTGCCAGTTCAGTAAGGTTTTGGGAATTTAAAAAATTCATTCTTCACGTAACAGGGACGATTGACAATGAAGATAGCTGCAATGAAAATGGCAAAATTTGGGCGAACAGGACTCAGAGAAGTGACTGGAGGAGCTTTGCCAACAAGGTCAGACCTTCACACTAACCAACGCATGGAGAGCTCCATGAGTATGTCATTTAGTCCATTTAGACGACCTAGAACAGTGCCCCAGAAGCTTCAGTCAACCAATACCCAACCTGAAACTCACAAGGTAAAGACAGCAGCTGAAAGGAAAACCTACACAGATGCTCTACCACCCAATGGTTCGGTCCGCTCTTCTACCAAAATTCATCGAAAAAAGGTAAGGATGTTTTTGTTTAACATCATCTGCATGATAACTGAATATTGCTTTGCTTTTCTTTGCTTTGTTATTTTGACTTAATGATTGTTGGGGAATATAATTTTCTCACAGTTGGAAGGCTTGAAGACAGTTTCAGTACTGTATTTTAAGCTTGCTTATCCCAAGGTAAGGTGCATTTAATGTTTTTATTTATTTTTTTTTTTTTTCTAACTGGTAGATAGGAGTAAGTGGTGTTTGTGATTTGACATGCTGTTGGAGTGTGAGCAAAGTAACAATTATAAAGGGACTCAGAGGTAACCAGTTAGCTATACTTAAGTTCTGGAGGTGGGAAATGCAGTTCCTACTACACTCTGAAGGAGAGGTGGAGATATTACAATTTGTAGGGTCATCTGAACTGTGTGTCATTGCTTTTCTGGCAAGACACACAGTGACGATGAAAGCATTTCTTCTTTGTCAGGTCACCCTACCTTGGTGAGAGATGGCCTGAGTATTAAAAAAATAAAATTATGTATCAAAAGACTTGTTAACTGGTGGGATTATCTTTTATTGGACTTACATGCATGATCTGCTGCACATTGATTGATGCCATGAAAAGCATGCAGCACTTTGAATAAGGCAATGTACATTTTTCCTTTGGGATACTGCTTCGTTGAAAAATTACTGAATAATGTTGAGTAAGGCATTGTACATGTTTCCTTTGGGATACTGCTTTGTTGAAAAATTATTGAATAATGTCAACTCTGACCTAGTGAAAAGTTACTTTGACTTTTTTTTTTGAATAGCTACAGAAATTACTGCAATTACAATACACATGTTCTGTATACACAGTAAACTCTTGATTTACTTACTGTAGTTTTGTTGCAAAAAGATTCAAACATTTTGATATCTTGCAAAAAGTCTTTGTTCTATAAAGCATATTATTATTATAATCAAGGGGGAGGCGCTAAACCCGGAGGATTATACAGCGCCTGGGGGGGGATGTGGAAGGCATTCAGGCTTAATTCGGGGAAATGGAGCACAGATCCAATTCCCTAAATCAAGAGCCCCTCACCAACATCAAGGAACCTTCCTTGAGGGGTCTATAAAGCATAATAACATAAATAAAATTTTGGTTATTAGATCTTTGACTTATTTAGTTCTGACTTGAGATGTTCCTCACTTGTGGTAAAGTTTATTTCTTTGTAAAGGTTACAATGTGTGATTACAATTTTGATTTGCTAAGTACATTCATATTTTGTGTACATGTATATTAATTTGTATGCATGTGTGAAAAGTTCATGATCATTTGATAGAAATCGTATATAACTGTTAATTCAGTAATGTTGCTTTTATTAAAGCTAAATTATACACCTCTTTTTTTTTTCAGTAGGCATTGAAATTTTATATATGATCAAGTTAACCACTTGTGTTGGGCTTTTGTGTGAGGCAGAGATGGGGATGTTGTTGCTTTTAGAAATACAGATAAAATAATTGGTACATATTTATATTTTATTTGTATTTGGAAAAAATTAAGGCTGTGTATTTGTATTTAATTTGCATTTTATGCATGTTTTTGCAGTGGTTGCTTCAAATACAGTTCAAATGCACTACCATAATTACTTTGCTTATCCAAAATTTGGTGATCTCTTGTTTGATCTAAGTGGTTTTTATGATTAGATGATTAGAAAAAGAAGAAGAAAATTGTCAAAGTGGGAAGTCTGAATGTGCATGGATGTTGTACAAATGATAAGAAAGAGATGATTGTGGATGTTATGAATGAGAAGAAGCTGGATGTCCTGGCTTTAAGTGAAACAAAGCTGCAGGGGGTGGGAGAGTTTCAGTGGAGAGGAATAAATGGGATTAGGTTAGGGGTTTCAAATAGAGTTAGAGCTAAAGAAGGAGTAGCAATAATGTTGAAGGATAAGATATGGCAGGAAAAGAGGGACTATAAATGTATTAATTCAAGGATTATGTGGAGTAAAATAAAGGTTGGATATGAAAAGTGGGTAATAGTAAGTGTATATGCACCTGGAGAAGAGAGAAGAGTAGAGGAGAGAGAGAGATTTTGGGAAATGTTGAGTGAATGCGTGGGGAGTTTTGAACCAAGTGTGAGAGTACTTGTGGTTGGGAATTTCAATGCTAAAGTGGGTAAAAATGTTGTGGAGGGAGTAGTAGGTAAATTTGGGGTGCCAGGGATAAATGTAAATGGGGAGCCTTTAATTGAGCTATGTGTAGAAAGAGATTTGGTAATAAGTAATACATATTTTATGAAAAAGAGGATAAATAAATATACAAGGTATGATGTAGCACGTAATGAAAGTAGTTTGTTAGATTATGTATTGGTGGATAAAAGGTTGATGGGTAGGCTCCAGGATGTACATGTTTATAGAGGGGCAACTGATATATTGGATCATTATTTAGTTGTAGCTACAGTTAGAGTAAGTGGTAGATGGGACAAGAGGAAGGTGGCAGCAACAAGTAGGAGGGAAGTGAAAGTGTATAAACTAAGGGAGGAGGAAGTTCGGGTGAGATATAAGCGACTATTGGCAGAAAGGTGGGCTAGTGCAAAGATGAGTAGTGGGGGGGGGTTGAAGAGGGTTGGATGAGTTTTAAAAATGCAGTATTAGAATGTGGGGCAGAAGTTTGTGGTTATAGGAGGGTGGGGGCAGGAGGAAAGAGGAGTGATTGGTGGAATGATGAAGTAAAGGGTGTGATAAAAGAGAAAAAGTTAGCTTATGAGAGGTTTTTACAAAGCAGAAGTGTTGTAAGAAGAGGAGAGTATATGGAGAGTAAAAGAAAGATGAAGAGAGTGGTGAGATAGTGCAAAAGAAGAGCAGATGATAGAGTGAGAGAGGCACTGTCAAGAAATTTTAATGAAAATAAGAAAAAATTTTGGAGTTAAACAAGTTAAGAAAGCCTAGGGAACGTATGGATTTGTCAGTTAAAAACAGAGTAGGGGAGTTAGTAGATGGGGAGAGGGAGGTATTAGGTAGACGGCGAGAATATTTTGAGGAACTTTTAAATGTTGGGAAGAAAGGGAGGCGGTAATTTCATGCACTGGCCATGGAGGTATACCATCTTTTAGGAGTGAAGAAGAGCAGAATGCAAGTGTGGGGGAGGTACGTGAGGCATCGCGTAGAATGAAAGGGGGTAAAGCAGCTGGAACTGATGGGATCATGACAGAAATGTTAAAAGCAGGAGGGGATATAGTGTTGGAGTGGTTGGTACTTTTGTTTAATAAATGTATGAAAGAGGGGAAGGTACTTAGGGATTGGCAGAGAGCATGTATAGTCCCTTTATATAAAGGGAAAGGGGACAAAAGTTTATTGAGTACACCAGGAAAAGTGTACGGTAGGGTTATTATTGAAAGAATTAGAGGTAAGACAGAATGTAGGATTGCGGATGAGCAAGGAGGTTTCAGAGTGGGTAGGGGATGTGTAGATCAAGTGTTTACATTGAAGCATATATGTGAACAGTATTTAGATAAAGGTAGGGAAGTTTTTATTGCATTTATGGATTTAGAAAAGGCATGATAGAGTGGATAGGGGAGCAATGTGGCAGATGTTGCAAGTATATGGAATAGGTGGTAAGTTACTAAATGCTGTAAAGAGTTTTTATGAGGATAGTGAGGCTCAGGTTAGGGTGTGTAGAAGAGAGGGAGACTACTTCCAGGTAAAAGTAGGTCTTAGACAGGGATGTGTAATGTCACCATGGTTGTTTAATATATTTATAGATGGGGTTGTAAAAGAAAGTAAAGGCTAGGGTGTTCGGGAGAGGGGTGGGATTAAATTATGGGGAATCAAATACAAAATGGGAATTGACACAGTTACTTTTTGCTGATGATACTGTGTTTATGGGAGATTCTAAAGAAAAATTGCAAAGATTAGTGGATGAGTTTGGGAATGTGTGTAAAGGTGGAAAGTTGAAAGTGAACATAGAAAAGAGTAAGGTGATGAGGGTATCAAATGATTTAGATAAAGAAAAATTGGATATAAAATTGGGGAGGAGGAGTATGGAAGAAGTGAATGTTTTCAGATACTTGGGAGTTGACGTGCCGGCAGATGGATTTATGAAGGATGAGGTTAATCATAGAATTGATGAAGGAAAAAAGGTGAGTGGTGCGTTGAGGTATATGTGGAGTCAAAAAGCTGTATCTATGGAGGCAAAGAAGGGAATGTATGAAAGTATAGTAGTACCAACACACTCATATGGGTGTGAAGCTTGGGATGTGAATGCAGCAGCGAGGAGGCGGTTGGAGGCAGTGGAGATGTCCTGTCTAAGGGCAGTGTGTGGTGTAAATATTATGCAGAAAATTCGGAGTGTGGAAATTAGGAGAAGGTGTGGAGTTAATGAAAGTATTAGTCAGAGGGCTGAAGAGGGGTTGTTGAGGTGGTTTGGTCATTTAGAGAGAATGGATCAAAGTAGAATGACATGGAGAGCATATAAATCTGTAGGAGAAGGAAGGCGGGGTAGGAGTCGTCCTCAAAAAGGTTGGAAGGATGGGGTGAGGGAGGTTTTGTGGGCGAGGGGCTTGGACTTACAGCAGGCGTGCTTGAGCGTGTTCGATAGGAGTGAATGGAGACGAATGGTATTTGGTACCTGACAATCTGTTGGAATGTGAGCAGGGTAATATTTAGTGAAGGGATTCAGGGAAACCGGTTATTTTTATATAGCCGGACTTGAGTCCTGGAAATGGGAAGTACAATGCCTGCACTCTAAAGGAGGGTTTTGGGATATTAGCAGTTTGGAGGGATATGTTGTGTATCTTTATACGTATATTCTTCTAAACTGTTGTGTTCTGAGCACCTCTGCAAAAACAGTGATTATGTGTGAGTGAGGTGAAAGTGTTGAATGATGATGAAAGTATTTTCTTTTTGGGGATTTTCTTTCTTTTTGGGTCACCCTGCCTCGGTGGGAGACGGCCAACTTGTTGAAAAAAAAAAAAATGTGTTGTTGGCATGTGAGGAAGGGCAACATTTGTGGAGGGATTCAGGTAACCTGATTAGCCAGAGCTGGGAAGT